GAGAACACCATATTCTCTTGGATGTTTGAATTTACTAAATCCTGCCTGTGCTATTCTCCTTCCTCCCACCTGGAAAACTCTGTTCATCATTCAAAACCCATCTCAGTCCCCCTTCTGCAAAGTTTTCCCTGTCTTCTTATTGCCTTGTACATGCTTCTTATTGGATTAATCCACTACACTATGTGCATTTAAATGTCTATCTTCCTCACCAAGCTATGTGCTCTTTGTATCTCTAATGCTTGGCACATTGCCTAGCTCATAGTAGGCATTCAATAAATGTTTACCAACTTTAACTTATCAGTATTTCAGTGTGACATCAGGGGATCCAGATACATTCATGTAACATGTATCGACATTGGCTCACAGAGGTGGCTCTACTGGAACCTTGGAATATGGGAAAGTAACTGAGAGGTTTTATCTTTTCAAAGGCATTAAAAGGGAAAACTTGGTGGGAGTTTAAAATGGTACAGCCACTGTGGGGAATGGTTTGGTTGTTCCTCAGAAAGTTAAATATAGAATTACCAGAGGATCCAGTATTTCCTCTTATGGGTATGTGCCCCAAAATACTGAAGTCAAGGACTCAAACAGGTATTTAAACACCAAGGCTCATAGCAGCATTATTCACAAGAGCCAAAGGTAGAAACAATTCCATCAACAGAGGAATGGATAAACAAGATATATCTACATTGGAATTTTATTTAGCCTTAAAAAGGAAGGAAAGTCTGATAAATGAAACAATATGGATGAACCTTGAAAACTATGCTAAGTGAAAGAAGCCAGACATAAAGGGGCAAACGTTGTATGATTTCAATTATATAAGGTACATTAGAATAGGTAAATTCATTGAGACAGAAAGTAAAATAGTGGTTTCCAGGGACTGAGGAGAGAGAGTAATGGAAAGTTTTTGTTTAATGGGTACAGAGTTTCTGTTTGGGAGGCTGAAAAGGTTCTAGAAGTATAAAGTGGTGATACTAACATAACATTTTGAGTGTATCTAATGCCACTGACTTATGCATTTAAAAATGGTTAAAATGGTACATCTAAAGTTATGTATATTTTACCACAATAAAAAAAGTAACTTGCTCTGCTACAACATGGATGGATCTAGAAGATATTATGCTAAGTAAAATAAGTCAGACAGAGAAAGACAAATATCATGTGATTTCATTTATATGTGGATTCTAGAAAACAAAACAAATGAACACGCAAAATAGGAGTAGACTCATAAATACAGAAAACAGTCTAGTGGTTGCCTTGAGGGAGGGAGGTAGGAGGGCAGGTGAAATAAGACATAAAAAAAATTAGTGAGATCATGGGGAAGACAGTGTAGCACAGAGAAGACAAGTAGTGACTCTGTGGCATCTTACTACACTGATGAATAGTGACTTCAATGGTGTATCAGGGGGACTCGATAATATGGGTAAATGTAGTAACCACATTGTTTTTCATGTGAAACCATAAGAGTGTATATCAATGATACCTTAATAAAAAAAATTAGTGATAATGTTTGACAACTGATGGTTACATAAATATATACACAGTGAAAATTCATCGAAAAGCTATATACTAAGATTTGTGCATTTTATTATATGTACCTCAACATAAAAATTATAAAAAACATGACAACAGATCCCGGTCTAACAGGAGGGAAGAAATAACAAATAGCCAGATTTATAAATAAGCTAAAATTATATACCCACAAAAAAAAGTAACTTGGTCTCCCCTGGGGTTGCGGAAGGGTAAAATTTATTTAGAGTATGTACTCACATGTGAGGGTCTGACCTTTTGCCCCAGGGAAATATGGGAATCTGAGTCTAATTCTGCATTTAGAGCCTAATTTTACTCTGCAAATTACTTAGGAATAAAAAGAAAAAGAAATATCCCTTTCTTGCTTTATCTGAAATGAATTCAGATTCAAAGAACATTCCCTGCACCATCTGGATTAGCTCTCAATATTTCAAATTAATAGCTAGTGATCAAATCAGTTTTGTTATTAGATCAGTCTGCAGTTAGAGACTAGTAAATGTTATTACAGTTTAACTGGAAATTACAGCCAACCGGACTAAAGCTATGTCAGAGATTGGCTTCAGCTGCATTTTTTGCACAAGCTGGGAAGAAAGGCCTGAGCTTTCTTTGTTGCAGACTAACTGGGAGACCTGGGTCAGAGAACTTATCACATTTGTCTCCCCAGAATTTCGCCAGATAATCTTAATGCAAAATGACTGAAGCAGTCGAAAAACAGACTGTACCTGGCTTCATCCAGCATGTTTTAAACAGACAGCATGTGATTTGCATTATACACTAGAGACAGACCTGCTTCTGGAAACCTTTCTTATTTGTGCTGCTGCCACGGCCACTGCTGGAGCTTCTGGTTCTGTGCTGGCCCTTCCTCCAACTCTTGACCGCTGGAGTGTGGCTTCTGTTTGGTGCTCCAGGAAAACCCAGTTTCACAGACTGTGCTACAGTCTCTGAATATCATACATGGAACTGTATCTTCTTTTTGCGGCTCAGAGCAAAGTTGCTATATGGGGTCTGAAGCCCTTTCTCTATGGATGCTGCTCAAAGGATCCAGGTTGCTCGCTTTGAGCTGGGAGCTGTGTAACTAGGGTGATGGGGCCTGCTCCACTGTTGAGGGACTCCTGCAGAGGAGACATGACAGAGGAGACAAGATCATGGTCTTGGTGGTAAGTGGGAATGACGTGCAACTTATCGCTGCTCTGTGGTCATATGATTGACAGGCTTGTTTTGGGAGCAGGATCTCAAGGGGTGGTGTCATTATTAATGCTTCAGGATAGAAGCAATAGTCAACACTGAGAAATAATTAAGCAACAGTTTAGAAAATGTTGCTTTCAATTTCCAATTACCTTAACATGATTTTCTAGATTAGTGAATTAAATGCAATACACAATTCAATGAACTTATTCTTAAAAATTTTTTTAGACTTTAATACAAGACATTCATTGACAGGTCACTGTGGCATGTGTCTGAAAATTTTCAGTGCTGGAGAATTACTGTTCACTAACTTTTTTTTTATAAAGAGAAATGATTTTGTGAGAAATTAGGAATAAAACTTTACATTTAAAGGGACTTTCTTCAAGTTTTAGTTATTTACATAATTAGAAGTCATAGAAGTATGTTAAGGCACTGGGTCTAGGGATGGTCAGATCTTAATATATAAGGAGAAATTAGTTATCTACATCATAAAGGTTTAGGAATTTGTAATTCATGACCCTTATCACTTTGCTGTGCTTCATATTTTTGCATTGCTTATCACAGAGTGTTAACAAGTTAAATCCCTATGAGCAAAATCCAGTGAGTTGAAAGATGATATCACTGTCTTACCTTCTTTGTCAGAGGATAGAAGTGAAGATGAATTGAGTTTATTCTTTCCTTCCTAATGGAATTTGGCTAGAATAATAGTTTGTTTGTCTGAAATGGGCTGGAAAACATGGGAGGGAGGTGAAAAAGAGGCTGGAAGGGAAGAATAAAGCATCTATTTTGAAAAAGTTTACTTATGGTCCAACACATTGGAGATTTGAAGGCATGACTTGTGGCTTCATCTTGGCTTTAGATCATGTGGCTTCCTTTGGTGACTATGTAAATGGATTCATGATTCTCAACACAGTCCACCTCATGTGCCCCTTCTGTTTCCTTCGTGCCACCATGCATATCTGCTTTTTGTGTCTTTCAGTCTTTCTGAGGCATTCTCTCAGATGGCATAACACCCATAAATCTTTTCATCAGAATGGTGGAAGGTTTGGCCTGGTAAGTGGAGGTATCCAGCCTCAGGAAGAATCCCAGAGTACCTGTTCCCAGCTAACGGGCGTGTCATCTGCTACACAATGGACCTTCCATCACCTGTGCCATTATGTCCCATCAGTTTGTCAAACCCTCTAAAGTCACCATCTCTCTTCCTGGTTGGCTTCCTCTCTAGATTCAACTTTTTGTTGTTGCTTTTGTTCTGTAAGCCTTTACTAAAGACTTGGTCACATTCTGTATTTGAGTAGAATAGCTCTGTTTTAAAACTGAAGTTCAATTTTACATTCTTCTTACCACAATACACAGAGGATATGTGCAGATGCGTATGTATATGTAGCAGGAAGGAAAATTGCAATTTTGAGGATTTGCAGAGAAATTAAAGGAGTGCAGGAAAAGAAATGAGAGAGAGGTATTTTTAGAGAGAGTGGAGAGAAGGAAGTTAGGCATGTCAGAGGTGAAAGGTGACTTTAAAAACAGTGATGTATGATATGTATTTATGTATATAAATATAAAATATAAACATTTATATATATATATTTTAAGTTTATATATATTTCAAAAATTCACATGGTTCAAAAATTAAAAATTGAAATCTCCCACCCACCCCATCCCCAGTTCATCCCAACTACTTCTCTTACTTTCTCTGCCTTATTAACAACTGTTATTATTTTTTCAGGAAGCTTCCAGAGATTTTCTGTGCATATGCAAGCAAATATGAATCAATCTATGTATTTGTTCATTCAACAAATTATCAAGTATTCCAGGCAAGAAACCCCCAAACATTTCTTGTCAGAAAGGTTACATTCTGGCTGGAATAGACAATAAGCAATAGATGTAATAAATTTGAAAACAATTTTTCATTAGACTAGTGAGGTTAAGGAAGAAGAAAATGTTATGGAAGGAGAATCAATATGGGAAGGTGGGTTTCTAATTTCAACTTGGTGCCAGAAGAGGCCTCATTGAAAAAGTGATATTTAAGCAATGACTTGAATTGAGAAATACCTGTGGGGAGAAGCTCAATCCCATTCATAATTAGAAAAATGTTTTTTTCCCCTGTGTTTCCTATGTGCACACGTGACATTCTCAATTACACTGGGATGGCAGGCAAACTCTGCCACCCAGAACTGAATACACGTATTCCCCTTCAGTCAACCCTCCTCAGGAAAACCATCTTTCTTGGCATCTCACCTTGGCAGCTCATTCACACACTTTATGTTGCTAATATATGTTTCTTCCTCTAGGAAGAAACCAGAAGAAACTGCTGCATTTCAGCTGTGGTGACCACATCTAGGAGGTAAAAGCAGAGCTGGCACAGCCCTGTTCCCTGGCTTCCACCAATAGGTGATAGTGCCTCGGGAGAGTCATACAAACTCCTCGCATTTACTGAGCACTTACTATCCATCAGGCACACTGCTAAGCACATTATTTCATTGGACCCTTACAATAGCCTTATGTTGTCAGATAGGTATTTCTATTCTATTTTTATAGACTACATGTATTCATTTTATAGATAAAATGACTCAGGTTATGTCAACTGGCCAAGGTCACACAGACCCTAAGTAGCTAATTCTGAAGTCTGAGGTTCTGGAGTGGAATACAGATTCACTGCAGTCCTTGCTTTGCAAACTAAATACCAGACAGAACTGTCATCTGCTTTCAGTCATCTAGGTTTAGGGCAGCTCGGTAGTGGTTTTGAGTAATACAGGGAAATGTGTTTTCTATATCCTGGCAGTTCACTCTGTGGTTACTTAGAGAATGCACAGTACTTGGCATTCAGCTTGATATTTATTTCCTTCTATTATAAAATTCTATATCAAACCCATCCCTGTGAAGCCATCAAATGCCCTCATCAGCTGTCAGATCTTTAAGCCTACCTGTAAATTGCTAAAGCAGTTTTTAAAAAATTTTGGTATCATTAATCTATAATTACATGAGCAATATTATGTTTACTAGACTCCCCCCACATACCCCATTACAGTCACTGTCCATCAGCACAGTAAGATGCTATAGAGTCACTACTTGTCTTCTCTGTGTTGTACAGCCCTCCCCGTGCCTACCCCCTACATTATGTCTGCAAATCACAATGCCCCCCCGTTTTTTCCCTTGTCCCTCCCTTCTCACACATCCTCCCCAGTTCCTTTCCCTGTGGTAACTGTTAATCCTTCCTTGGGTTTTGTGAGTCTGCTGATGTTTTGTTCCTTCAGTTTTGCTCTGTTGTTATACTACACACATGAGTGAAATCATTTGTACTTGTCTTTCTCTGTCTGGCTTATTTCACTGAGCATAATACCCTCTAGCTCCATCTGTGTTGTTGCAAATGGTAGGATTTGTTTTCTTATGGCTGAATAATATTCCATTGTATATGTACCACATCTTCTTTATCCATTCATCTACTGATGGACACTTAGGTTGCTTCCATTTCTTGGCTATTGTAAATAGTGCTTCAATAAACATAGGGGTGCATCTATCTTTTTCAAACTGGAGTGCTGCATTCTTAGGGTAAATTCCTAGGAGTGGAATTCCTGGGTCAAATGGTATTTCTGTCTTTAGTTTTTTAAGGAACCTCCATACAGCTTTCCACATAGGTTGAACTAATTTACATTCCCACCAGCAGTGTAGGAGGGTTCCCCTTTCTCCATATCCTCACCAACATTTGTTGTTGTTTGTCTTTTGGATGGTGGTCATCTTTAGTGGTGTGAGGTGATATCTTATTGTGGTTTTAATTTGCCTTTCTGATGATTAGTGATGTGGAGCATCTTTTCATGTGCCTGTTGACGATCTGAATTTCTTCTTTGGAGAAGTGTCTGTTCAGATCCTCTGCCCATTTTGTAATTGGATTATTTGCTTTTTGTTTGTTAAGGTGTGTGAGCTCTTTATATATTTTGGATGTCAAGCCTTTATTGGATATGTCATTTAGGAATATATTCTCCCATACTGTAGGATGCCTTTTTGTTCTATTGATGGTATCCTTTGCTGTACCAAAGCTTTTCAGCTTGATATAGTTACACTTGTTCATTTTTACTTTTATTTCCCTTGCCCGGGAAGATATGTTCATGAAGAAGTTGCTCATGTTTATATCCAAGAGATTTTTGCCTATGTTTTTTTCCTAAGAGTTTTACAGTTAAAGCAGTTTTAAAATAATTACAGGGTTCCCACTTAGTCATAGAGTCGTTGTTTTGTTACTATGATCAAATAGTTCAGTTGTCACTTAAACATTAACAGTTTTAAGAACACATCACCTTACATAGCTTCAAGAACACTATTGGTCAGGTTACTAAATTCCTTGGTTTGTTGCTAATGAAGTTTAAGGAGAAGGAAGAAGATTTTAGTCATGTAGATTTATTTTAGGAAAAAATAGATCCTACTTACAATAATGTTTACATTAAAATTATATCTCTGCTGTTCCTCTCTCTTCTGAATTCTAAGTACTCATTAAAAGTAAGAAACATAACATCTTTACGGGTTAAGCCCTACTTCAAGGCTGATGTTAAGGTGCTGCATTTGAGTTGCTGAAGCTGGACTGTCAACTCTGTAACTAGAACATTGGTATTTAGTCCTTAAAAATGTGTTCATTGTTCTATCATTCTCTTTGATTCTTAAAAAGCAGATCTAAAATAGAGCTTGTAGGTTTGATAAATAACTGACTTAAGCCTTTTTTTCTGTCATTGGAGACATATTTTAGTTATTGAAATCTCACTGGAAGTATTCTATTTTGTAGAAATGGAAGGTCTGAGAAGTTGCTCAGTTAGGGTCCTGTGTGCGACTGACTTACTAATTAAATGCATATGTGATTTCAACATAATTTTAAGAGATCTATTTATTTATTATTTCTCAATATGCATGCATTCACTTTTCATTGTAGGAGACTTCAACCACTTTTGATGCTTAATAGAGGAATGATATAGTGAAGGACAGAAACAGAAAATAGTTTCTGACATTCTGGTGTATTTTAAAAATTATTTGGAAGCAATATTGGAAATATTTTCTAAGTAGTTGCCAGCTCTCACCTGCATTTTGTAGTAAATTCCAATCTGATATCCAAAGGACACCTCCTAAGAGGAAGAAAACACACATCATAAGTATAGATCTACATGACACTTTCTGGGAATTCTTGCAAGCTGCCAAACAGTTCTATCCTACAGTTCAGAAAACAAACAAACAAACAAAAACACTGAAATCACTTATGTGGTTGCAAAGGCAAAAATGTCCCTAACTGTTTTATTTTTGTCATCAGCATCCTTACAATCACTGACAGGTTTTAGGGAAGTTGCTTTCTCCTGGCTTTAGGGGTATCTTTGGTTACCTGCACATAATAGATGCTTGATAACCATTTCTTGAGTGAATGAATGAAATGTCCATGTATATGGCTTAAATGTGGAAAGAGTTGGAGGATCTTGAATATTTCAGAGTTGTTACATGAGTCAGCATTGCAACACTCATGCCTAAAAGAATCTTTCAGAGTTCACCTTTCCCCGAGTTAAGTCCTCCCAGATACAGTGGGACTCCCAAATGCCAGTGATGTAAAGCCTTTGCGAGATGTGAATGTGTAGGAAGTGTTTGTAAGACTTCTTTCCCAATCCTCTTGCTTTTTGGCAGATGACACATTTGAGGTACAATATGTAGGTGGACATTTCTAAATTATAAAATAAAGGAGGCTAGTGGGTGAGTGCAGAGGCAGTGACATGAACAAAGTAGAGAAGATAAGGTTCGAGAGTTAGAAAAGGTCTTTTGCAATTAATAAAGAGTCCTGAAATGTGACACTAATAGAAAGGATAAAACAACCAAAAACATATATCCAAAACTCAGCAAGAAGAGATAGAAAGGCAAAGATTATGTTATTTTTGAATCAAAACTTTCATTTTGTATGCACTTCCACTCACCTGTTCTATTTTCCCATTTCACACACACACACACACACACACACACACACACACGACTACACAGAAAAGAATCATTTACACAAATGCAATTTAAAAAACAGAACTAAAGCATGAAATACCTTCTAAATATAAAATAAAATTGGAAAATATCCTCTTTGTGGAGGACTGCATATAGTGACGTTAGGAAGTTTAGTCCCAAATCATTGCACCAGGTCACATGGCACTGTGAGTTGAGAAGAAATGGGGTTTTGATTCTCAGTCTTGAAGCCCAACCCTTGGATTTTTGTTACATCAGGAGTAGATCCATCTCTTCAGGGCCAACTTACCAGAGAAGTTATTTTGATATATAAAATATATATATATATATGTATGTATATAAGTAGGGCATTTTGATTTTATATATTTGATTTTATAAAATCAAAATGCCCTACTTACTATACCATGAAACATAAGACTGTCATGGAGGCAGGAGTCCTCACACTGACACAACCTGCTCATTTCCTCCCTATAGAAGATCAACAAAGAAGTCAAGCTGGAACCAGATTGTATGAGGAGCATGGACTCAGAACCCAGGAAATGAGACTGCCTGATAAGCTAACAGTATTCATCTGGCAGTGGCCAATGACGGGCCAGGCAGGTAAGAATGCTGAGTGAAGGTGTCTAGTGGGGCTGTGGACAGCTGGAGAACTGTCTGCCAGGGACAGTTACTCAGTTCCAGCTGATTGCTGCCATGTGCAAATGTGGGCTTTTTATGAAAGTAATAAATGAAGAAATCTTACATAAAGTCTTTTCACTTAAAATATGTTAATTTAAATATTAAAATTTAATATTTTTATTTAAAAATAAAGTAGTTTAATTTAAAAGTTAATTTAAATATTTAAAAAAACATACAGGAACCACACAAATCCATCTGTGGGCCAGGTTAGATGTCCAGCACTCCAGTTTTTAACCTCTGCCTTGAGTATCCTTAGCCTGATATATCTGGCTTAGGGAGGGGTGGTCTTTCTGTGAGACTCAGAGCCATTGGTTAAGGTTCCCTGTCCCCTGAACAATGTTTAGACATGCACAGTCAACACTTGCCTTAATGACTCCCTTTCCTGTATTTCTAAGATGGATGAACATTCACCCCTCCCACATACCTTTGGGTGAACACGTTCTTTAGACATCATAATATATTCATTCTTTCATAGCCTAGTCTTGCTGACCTGACAGCTGCTTAGTCTCTAACCAGATTTGCACTCTCAGGTCTTATCATTATATCTTGATTGCATGGTTTAATGCTCAAGCCCATCTTTATTTCCCTTACTGTCAAGTTCCAGGGGGATAAATCACTGTATCTTCATGAACTGACAACACTGTCTTGTAAAACATACATCATTTTGTCAAAATCATAATTTGTTTTTAGTTCTGCCTGCTTGACCTGAGATAAATTATTTTTCCTCCTTTTTGATAAAAACAATGATCTTCCTGGTGGCTTGTTTAAAACAGAACCCATCAAATGGGCCATCTGTATGGTATCTGTATTACAGTTTTGGAAAGATAGAATAATATTTGAGAACTGTTTAGGGTGAAATAAACTGCAGAAATGATTATTAATGTTTTTTTTGTCTGATTACAGCTGTCTCATTAGATATGTTATTTTTAAAATCAGGAGCAGAGTCATAGAAACATTTTCTTCTTAATTTGCAACACCAGCAACCATATGGTGCTGATGCCAGCATGACAAGATTGAGGCAATGAGAACTTAAAAACAACCTGTATTATTATGTTTTACTTTGGGTGCTAACTTGAGATTGAGCAGCTGCTCAACAAGTGTGGGAGGCAAGTCAGAGACAGATTTTAGGTCTGGACCTGAAACTTTGTAGAATATGGAATGGAAGGTTCTGTCCTATAAGGTACACCAATCTGGGCATCAGCTCTTAGGCAGTAACCTTGCTCCAGTTTAGCCTGTGCTTCATGGGCTCCAGCCCTCCTGAGAGGAGTTAAACATGATTTATCTTGCCAGTCTGAAAGAAGCAGGTGTCATCTGACAAATGACACCTGATGCTATAGAACTGTCCCATTTAAGGGGAATTTTCAGAGCAGTTAATTGGAGAGGAAGCTGCTTATACAGTCCACATACAGAATTTATGGGTCAGTATTTCTTTTGCTCATGAACTGCTCATTCAAATCATATCAATAAGAATTTTTTTATTACATTTTCAAACATGCAGAAAAGTAGAGGGAATAATATAATGAAGCCCCATGTACTCTGCAACCAATTATCAGTACTAGCCATTTTGTTGCATTTCTACCCCCAATGGATTATTTTACAGTAAATCTCAGACATTTTCTAAAATATTTCAATGTGTATCTTTAAATTATAAGGGCTTTTTCTAAAACACACAGTAGCATTACTACATCTAAAATTAAACAATAATTCCTAAGTAGCTTCAAAGTTCTAGCCAATTTTTAATTTTCCTGATTATCTCATAAATATTTTATAGTTGGTTTGTTCAAAACAGGATCCAAACAAGGTCCATATATTATATTTGGTTGTTGTGTCTCCTAGGTATCTTACTCTCTTTCAAACCAAATTTTTTTACTGGAATGGAAAATAAGATACAGAAAACTACACAAATGTATGACAATGAATTTTTGTAAAAGAGAACACCTTTTTAAGTACAGCCAAGGTCAAAAAATAAAACTGCCTTGTATTTCAGAAGCCCTTTCCATGAGATTCAATCCAATAGAATACATTTTCTTCCCCAATTACATTTATAGTAATTGCTGCTTTGCAAATACTTTTATCCAATAGTTTATCACCTAACTGTGATAAAATGTCCCTGGTCATTAAAATTCAATTTTGCTTATTCAAAAAAAAATTCTGTCTTTTAAGTTTTAACCTTATCATCCCTTTTTTCTCCTTAACATTTTATGTGAGTCCCTTTGACCAGTAGAGTTCCCACAGTCTGGATTTTGCAGACTGTCTACTCATGGGATAATTCAACATGTTCCTGTCCTCTGTATTTCCTGCAAATTGGCAGCTGGATCCAAGACTGGATCAGTCTCATGTTTGATCCTTTTTTCAAGGTTATAGAAGGTACTGGGAAATTCTGCAGGAGGTGTTTCTGGTTGTCTCCTTTGGGGTGATATTACATATTAATGATTATTGCCTGTATCTAGAAGTTCACTTGGTTTATGAAATGGAGATAGTCCAATTTTAATAATTTCTATTTCATTTGTTAGTGGAAATACTATTAAAAGGCAATGCCCCTAATCTATTACTTGGTTATCCAATGGTATGGTTCATACAGGAATGCAGGACAGATCCTTGATTCTTTGTTTTTATTTAAACCATTTTTCAAGATAATGAATTCATTCCCTATTGCATTAAGGTAATCAATGCATATCATTCTGATCTATCTGTATTATGAGCTCATAGATTGAAACAACTTGATTTGTTTCAATCCATCAAAATTACTATGATCATGATTGAATTTTCAATTGTTGCATCTTTGGCAGTGAAAGCTTCTTCAAATTGGCCCCTAAACATTTTTGAGATGTAGTCTTTGATAACTTCCTTGGTATTTGGTAGACAAGATATTCCAGTTTCATCTTGTCATTTTCTGTCACAGACCTGAAATTGACTATTTTTCTCTGGAAACTCTGGTTTCTTTTTGTGAGAAAGATTATTTCAAGATCACTGGGTCCTAGGGATGCTCATTACTACTAGGTTGGTCATTGCTTCTGTGCTCTGTCTCTGTCTTTGTTTCTCTCTCTATGTAATTACTTGTATTTATATATGTTTACAACTTTATATGCTACATATAATATATAAAAATATTTTTTAATTATTTAAAAGTTGGAAACATATATATCTTTTTAATCATTTAAAAATAAGTTGCAAGCATGACAATCCACATTAAAAGTGACACTCTCAATGACATTCCACCCATTATTATTCACAAGAAATTTAACATTGACTTGATAAGCTCATCCAATATTCAAGTCCATATTCAAGTCTCTACTTATACCCAAAATGTTATTTACATATATTTTTGAAATCTAAGATGAAATCCAGAAATATGTATTATATTTGATTATTATGTCTCTTTAGTCATCTTTAATATAGAACAGTTCCTTCTGCCTTTTCTTTTTCCTTTCTTGACATTCATATTTTGAAGAGTCTGAGCTGTTTTGTAGAGTGGACCACACAATTCTGGATGGGTTTTAATGATTATATTTAAGTAATACATTTTGGCAAGAATACTACATAAATGATAGTTGATATTTCCCCTTGTAACTCATGAGAAAGAGGCACAGAATATCAATTTGTTCTGTCATTACTAAGAAACAAAGTTGATCACTTAGCTAAGGTGTGTCTGCTAGATATCTTCATTGTAAACATCTTTTTAATTAAAATAATCTGTGGGGTGATAATTTGAATAATGTAAACTATCTTATTTTCCAATAAACCATCACCCAATGGTTTTACCATTCTTTATTAATCCTTATCTGAATCAATTATTATGTAAGGGTTGCAAAATGGTCATTTCCAATGAAATAATTTCCTCTATATTTATTATTTTCTCCTATATATATTAATTTTTCTATAAGGAACATTTTTTTCTATTTTTCTGTATCTCTGAGTTTCACTATGGGAATCATGGATTCTGAAATTTATATTATTCAGTGTGGCCAGTGGCAGCACCTTTGAGCTGCCTCCTTCAAAAAATGTTTTGTCCACTTAAACTTTCTTATCATAATCAGAAAAACATTATAAAATATATGGAAATACATAATGAAAGGTCACATCATATAGCAGTTTTTAGCACAGTGACCAGTATCCTGTTGAAATGAACTAAACTTGTATGCTTCTGAACCATGTCCCTTCTTAGTAAGAGTGAAGCCAATGAAGAGCATTGCAAGTGGTCATTTAATGAAAGAGAGAGGGTGGTATGGGGGTTTGGGAGTCAGGCACAACTTGGACTAAAGTCTGCTCCTATCTCATTAATAGCTTTAAAGTCTCAGGAAGTGATTCAATCTCTGTAAGCCTCATTTTATTAAATTTTAAGGAAAGAGAGAGAACAATAGGACTTATCCAATAGGAGTGTGAGGTTTATAGAATGCCCAGTTCACAGCAGGCAATCAGTAAATGATAATAATTACAAAGCAACCAGAGTCTGAAAAGACTGAACGGCATGAAAACCCACTTTAATGCTCCTTTTTTTCACTTTCTGTGCCAGATGAAAAGATTCATCAGGGAGGGAGACTGTTGACAACTGCAACCTTGGGTGACATCCACCTTGTTTTTTATTCCATCAAAGACTGAAAGAAGAGGGTCCTGCTTTGTGAGTGAGATTTTTTTCTGTCCATAAAATAAGTTATTGTCTCCTTTCTGGGTCCCTTCTTCCCTCCTCCCTCCCTCCCTGAATAAGTTTCCATAGTATGCACAAACATTTAGTTTATCCAGTCATCTCTCAATAGACATTTGGGTTGCTTTCCATCTTTTGGCTATTGTGAATAATGTGGCTATGAACATGGGTGTACAGGTGTCTGTTTCTGGGTTCTTTCTGGATGAAATCCTGTGTCTCTCTGTTTGTTCATTCATTCATCACATATATACTACATGCCAGGCATAGTTCTAGACATTGGAATATTTCAGTGCACAAATCAGACAACAGCCCTTGCCCTCATAGAGCTTAAACTCCAATAAGGGAATACATCAATGCAAAAATAAATATGATAAATAAATAAGTAGTGTATTCTGTGAGATTCTGATACATGTCTATGGGAAAAAACAGGGCAGAGTTAAGAGTGATTGAAAGAGATGGATGGGTTGCAATTTTAATTGGGATGCTCACAAGAAGTGATATCTGAGCAGAAACTAGACAGAGCTATGGGAGGAAAGACTAGAAAATAAATCCTATTCAGCCATCAGGGAGAAATGATAAGAGCATCAGTTTAATTTCCTAATCAAAATTAGAAATGTATAAAGAATTTAATTATTAGGATTGTAGTCAGTGGTGATCTTCTCTCTGGTGGACATTACCTAGTGCAACGTACACAGAAAATAGCCTGTGGCAGAGACAGTGTTCTGTGTTCACCTAGCTCTTGCATTTTCCTCCTGGGCTCACAGGAAGACTACTTTTCCAAGCCCTCGGTGTCTAGGTGGGATCATGTGACTAGTTTTGGGTAGAAGAACACAGATAGAAATAATCTCCTAACCTCTCTGGTGGTCCTCTGCACTCCCTCATTCCCTCTCTCTCTCTTTCCAACTTGGCTGGATGGAGACAAAAGATCCAGTAGAACACTCCAGGGCTCTAGGGGACAGAGAAGCCACAATATAGAAGAAGCCTGGGCCCCCGAGTCCCTGCGGACTTGACTGGATTATGACATGAGCAAGAATTAAACCTTTTGTGTATATGTAAACCATTGCAATTTTGGGTTGTGTGTTATAGCATTTAGCCTATCCTAATACTTATCCTAACATATAGCTGAAACCAGATGGAAGCTGTTTCTTTTCAAGTTAGGTGTAAAGCAAACATCTCTGCATTGAGTCCTAGGTAGACAGCTCCCTGGGCCCGTGCCACTGTTGCTTTTCTTGAACTTCCTGCTGCTGCCACCTGAGGTTTGCCAAGAGGCTCAGAGAACAAGGCCTTTTCTACTATAAATAAAGACTCTAGATTCATAGGCTTTAGATGCTATTGAATGCTTTACCTGTCTGAGCAGGACCTCTCTATCCCATGCACAGTACCACAAAAGGCACTTCTGTTAATAATGGCAGGGCTTTCTGGGTATACCTTGAAATAATGTTAAATACACATACTCCTAGCTTCCCAAATCCGTTGGTGGATACCAGATTTAAAGTATTAACTGGTATCTTCCAGTCACTCCCTATTATTTCTCATGCCACTCAGAACAATCACTGACCTTTCTTCCTAGTTTATTCTAAAACATCTGAGTTATGTCTTTCAGTTTTATTTGGTTTCTGGGGAAGATCAGAACAATCACTGACCTTTCTTCCTAGTTTATTCTAAAACATCTGAGTTATGTCTTTCAGTTTTATTTGGTTTCTGGGGAAGTAGAATACTTTTCTCCACAGGTCTCAGCTTTAAGTCACTTGCATTCCTCAGGGTTTGCCTAAAGAAATTATTTTAATGAATTTTATATCTATTTTAATTTTATGGTTTCGGGGAGCAGGTTGATTAACCAAGGTTTTAAAATATCTATCCATTTTCCTGAGTTCCCACTGGTTCATTAACCTCTTGTAGTAAGTGGCTGGAGGGCCTTGACCACACTCTCAGCCCACCTGGTTTCGGTACAGTCAGGGTGAACAAGGCCAGGCACATGGACAATATCCTACCTCAAATGTGCACATGATATCTCTCTGCTTTTCTATCTTAATGTTTCCTCAGAAGTTGTGGAAGTTTGCTCAATCAGTACATGAGTATAGGGAACATAAGCTAATATAGTTGGAAAAGGCAGTGGCCTTAGAAACAGCAGACCCTCAGGATGGGAAGCTTGAATTGGTAAGATGACCATAAGGATCTCACTGCTAGTGGTGTGTGGGATGCAAAGAAACTCTGGTAAACTGCATCATCATAATTGCTAAGACTCTCACTGGTGGAGGATTGGCATGAGGTTTAGGTAGAAGCGGGAAGCACTGACTTCCATAGTAGCTCTAGTACTTATGAAAGTAAGTGTGAGGATTGTGGAGTTGGCTGACATTTTTGTTCTAGAAAATGTGAAGAAAGAGAACAGTCTAACTATCAATTCAGGGCATGTTATAAAAACACAGAAAGTGTACATGGCAGCATTAAAGAGATGCTTATCTTTTTCTTTTTTGAGAGGGCATCTCTCATATTTATTGATCAAATGGTTGTTAACAACAATAAAATTCTGTATAGGGGACTCAATGCACAATCATTAATCCACCCCAAGCCTAATTCTCGTCAGTCTCCAATCTTCTGAAGCATAACAAACAAGTTCTTACATGGTGAACAAATTCTTACATAGTGAGTAAGTTCTTACATGGTGAACAGTACAAGGGCAGTCATCACAGAAACTTCCGGTTTTGATCACGCATTATGAACTATAAACAATCAGGTCAAATATGAATATTCGTTTGATTTTTATACTTGATTTATATGTGAAT